GGGGGCTGTGCAATCACAAGCACTTTCTGGGAAGAAAGGAGCTGGTTTGTGGGGACAGAAAGCTGCCACCCGCGGAGAGGGGGGGGACGGGACTGTCCCACAGGCAGTGGTGCCCCGGTTCGGTGCGGCCAAGCTGGGTCCTGGTACCCCCCCAGCCGGGGGTGGCATCTCCATCTCCCCCCCGGTGAGGGGCTGGGAGCATCTGGTCAGCACCTGGTTCCCAGGGCAGGGGGTGCCGGTGCCGGGCTGCGGGGCTCAGCACCCACGGCGTCCCGAGTGGGACTGCGGGGAGGAGGAACCGGCTCCGTTCTCACGAGAAACTTCCCCCCTCCCCGTCGGCGTTTCTGCAGTTCCGAGGGCGAGGGAACGAATGAGCCGGCCCGGGGGCTGAGGGTGGTTGGGGACGGCGGGGAGGGTGTCCCCGTGGTTTTGTCCCCGTGGGGGTTTGTGTGTCGTTATCCCCTCGCCCAGCGTTGTGGGCCGTGTCGGGGACAGAGGTTGGTGCCTGGTGGGGGGCAGGTCCCCCCGAGGCCAGAGGTGGGAGGACTTCAGCCCCTCTCCCAGACCGTGGCCACCATCCCGTGGGTCACCTCAGCCCCTGCCATGGGGGGACAGGATGGCAAGGAGAGGGTCTCTGTGGGCATCCTGGCTGTGGTGGCAGGGGGATGCCGTGGCAAGGGGGACAACCCAGGCTGGGGGGACCCAGCCATGCCTATAGTCAGGGCCCTGCAGGCCCCAACCGGTCTTGCTGTCAGCCCTGGGCTGGTCGGGGACTGCGCACGGGGGGGAAAGAGCATCAGGACACAGAGAGACTTTTCCTCTTCCTCCCACTCACCCCATCCCACGCCGGGGTCACCCCGGGGGTACCTGACTCCCAGCCTCAGCAGTGGCTTCCTCCGGGCTGGGGGAAGGTCCACAGCATCCCACATTCCCAAGGAGACCGTGGGAAGCTTTGAAAAAGTTGGCCTGGCTCTGGGCTGCCTATTTATAGCAGCACACGCTCGGCGCTCTCATGCTTCTGTTCCCCAGCGTAGCTGCACGGGACTGTTTATATTTCCTCTGCTCTGCTTCCCCCTCGGCCGTCCTTCCCTGGAATGCTGCTTGGAATGGCAGACATGGGGAAGTTGAGGAGGATTTGGGATGAGCCTGTGGCATCGTGAGGGATGCAAGGGAACTGGCTCACTTCACTGGGATGCCCTTCCCTCCCACAGGGGACAGCCTCCTAGCTTGGCAGGGTACAGGCATAAGGGTGCTGGTCTGGGGCTCTGGCACAACATTTCAGGAGCCCCCCCAGCTTGCTGCCCACGCTGGGGCTCCCAGCAGCCTTGTAGTCAAGCCAGCAAAGGTGGTTTTTTGGGGGATTTCAGAGCAGCCTCATAGCAGAAGCTGGCAGCTGCAGGAGGAGATGCAACGTGGGAGATGGGTGCTGCAGTCTGCCCAGCCCACCTGGCCCTACTCCCATCCCTCACCCCATGCCTGAGCATCTGTGCCAAGGTGGGAGCTTCCATGGCTGTGGGGCTGCCCCACTGGAGGCCCCTCACCTCCCTGCCCTTGCAGGGCCTGCAGTATCCTCTGGGATGTCACTTCAACCTCACCGAGGTGAGGAGGAGGGGGAGAGGCAGAGCCTGCCTGTCTCCCTGGCCATGCTGCCCTGGCTGCTGAGATCAAGGAGGTGGGATGAGGAGGAGGGGGCTCACCCTGACCCCCTTCCCACCACAACACTCACACCCCACAGTGAGCAGGGCCCAGCACCAGCAGTGTGGTGGCTACCAGAGCATCACTGCTGCCCTGAGTGGTGGCTGGGCTCCGTGAGCTCCCCTGGGGGCAAAGTGCAGCTCAGGGTCTCCCCAGGTTTCAGGCAGAGACCAGGAGTGGGGTTGGCCTGGGTGAGGCTGCTCTGCTCTCCTGGCCACCTCTGGAGTAATTCAGATTTGGCAAAGGATCACTCACATTCTTGTGCCAGGAGGAGGATGCAGTGCCATGGTTAACCACTCCAGCTCCCTGGGAAGCCATCCTTCCTATCCCCAACACCCTCCTGGGGTTCAGAGGGAGCAACGGCTTCCCCCACCTGCAGACCCATCCTTTTGGTATGGGGAGGAGGTGTCTGTCCACGCAGGCTGGGGGGACCCCTCCTGCCCTGCTGTCTGCTGGCAAAGGGATGGCTCAGCCTGGCTCTGGGGCCTCCTGCACCCCCGCAGCTCCCTCTGCTGGGATTGCTTCCCACGGGGGTCAGATGCCCACGCTCTGCCAGCCTCAAGCCTGGCCCCTGCCAGCCACGGGGCCTCTGCCAAGGGCAGAGCTGTGACCCCCCTGTTGCCTCTCACCCATCCAGCCCTGGGCTTCCCATGCCCTGCTCTCCCTGCCCTGCATCCTGTTTGAAGGTAACTCTCCCCATGGAGGCAGGGAACACCCCCCACATGGGATCTCCCCAGCACCAGAGCAGCATTGGCTTTGTGTCGGGCTCTCCCAGGCAGCTGAGGAGCTGAAAGCAGTCGTTCCCTGTGGGCAGCTGTTACCAGCTCACCCGGCCCCACCGAGGCATCGCTGCCACCAACAGCATCCGACACGCCAGCCCCGCTCCCTGCTGGCCCTGCTCCCCACCGCTGGCCCCCCAGAGCCCCTGCCACGGAGTGCTGCATGGGGAGCAGGGCTGGGGACCCCCCTGGTGCCAGCACCATAGCCCAGTCTGAGCTGGGAGGGATGGGTGGAGATGGGGAGAGGGACAGGGCCCCAAAACCCACCTCAGTGCAGCTGATCTGGCTCTGAGGAGGGAGCACAAGCTCCCCCCAGCCTGGGCTGCCTCAAACCAGCTGGGCTGCACCCACACAATGGGCTGGAGGAGGCTGGGCTGCCTGGGTGCTGGGGTGCCTGGGGAGCTGGGAGGCCT